CTGTGATCCAGCAGTTCTACTCCTGGGTACATACCTGAAAGAAAGGAATGCTTATGTTTACCAAGAACATGATCCCCATATGCATAGAAGCTGCAATAACAACTTCAGATGGAAAACAACTCGTGTCCATCAACAGTAGAATAGATAAATTGTATTATATTTATGCAATAGGATACTACACAGCAATGAAGAAAAATAAACTAATGCTATATGCAGGAACATGGATGAATTTCACAAGTAATGTTGAAAGAAAGAAACCAGACACAGAGTATGTGCTGTAGGATTCCATTTATATGAAACTATTAGAATAGGCAAACCTAATCTATGATAGTAAGCTCAGAATAGTGGTTAGCTTTAGGGGCTGATACTGACTAAAAGGAGCCATGAAAAAACTTTCTGGGATATTGGGAAATTTTCTGTCTTGATTTACTGGTGGTTATACGGTACCAAAATTTATTGAGTAGTATACTTAATATATGTACATTTTACTGTATATATGTTATATCTCAATGAAAAATAGATTTAAAAACTTCTGTGAAGTATTATCATCTCCATTTATAGAGGAAGAGCATGAGGCTTGTAGATGTCAAGTGACATACTCATTTAATCAGTAATTGGTGGATTTGGGAGTAAAAAGGCACCCAGGTTTTAGGATTCTAAATCTAATGCTGACTTCAAATCACCATGCTATTTGTCTGTGAAGGTAGGAATTATGTTTCTAACACTTTTGTGTCAATATAACATCCAGCATAGTTCCTGTACTTATTAGGTAAACAATCAGTAATTTACTGATTTGAAAAAATAGCAGTCATAAATTTGATGAGAGTGGACATTAAAATTCTTAAACATGAATGTTTAATTTCAAATCATAGGTCTTCTAATTTCTGTTTAAGCCTTGTTTTTTGCCTCCTAATTTCTTACCAAATAATTTCCCTTGGACTCAGAAGCCTCATGTATTGATTCCAAATCCTTATAGTAAAAATATCAGTATGAACTACTTGGAACTTAACTTTCTTGTCTTTTTATTAGCTCTGGAGAGAGATATTTTCCTGTTTGTTTAATTCTGGAGTTAGCAAAGTAAAAATTTTTTTTTCTTTTCCAGAAGTTAACTGTAGGTAATCTGGCTTATCTTCTTGGGCATGTATAGGACCTGTTCCAAATTACTTTTTCTTATACCAAATTCTAACAATGTATAAACAAATAGATATAACCAAAGAATTCAGAATAACTGCTAAACAGAAAGCTAGAAGAAATGGAAAGAACTTAGTAGATGGGAATCTTAAGAATGCGCCTAGATAGCAACTAGAGAAAATTGTGAAAGTATCTTAGACCTTCTTTCTTAATATGATGTGGAATGAAGGCATCTTCAGAAGAGGTCTCTTTCCCTTTGATTTCTGGAATCATGGAAGAGTGGTGCTCTGGGACAGATAGTCTCATTTCTGTTGTCCGATCTCTTATGGAGATTTGCCAGGCAGTAATCCTGTATATTCAACTGAAGGTGGATACTCTGAGCCCGCATCCCTAGAACATGTGTTTCTGGAACATGCCAAAAACTTTGTAGCAACCCACTTTTTAGGTACTCAGATATTTTAATTAGTGTTGTTGAAGTATAATCATAATTAAAGTTTTGTTAACTACTGAGTAGATAATATGAATAATTAAAATTTGTATAAGGTATAGGGAATCACAATACAATAGCATCTATGTACTTACCATGGAGTTTAAGATAAAGCACTTTACTGTTACCTCTGAAGTCCCCCTATGAGCTCCTCTGCATCCTATTTCCTTTCCTCCCCTTTCAGAGTTAGACACTATCCTGAATTTGGGGTTTATCATACCCTTGCCTTTCTTTATACTTTTGGTACATACATTTGTATTCCCAAAAAGTAATTCCACTTTGCTTGGAATTATACTGTGTGTATTCATTGAACTTACTTTTTTACTCAACACTATGGTCTTGAGATTCGTGTATTGTTACTGCGTGTAGCCGTAATTCATGTTCATGTGAATGTAATATCCCATTATGTGAATATATAATAATGTATCTGTTCTGATACTGGACATGTGAGTTGTTTCCATGTATTTGCTATTACAAGCAGTGCTGATAAGAACATTTACATATCATAGTGATATTTAATATAGCTTAGAAAGAGGATGTATTGGATTTTGGAGGAAATCGTTTATTGCATATGATAGAATAAGGCATATTTTTTCACTCCTTTAGGAAAATGTCCTCAAATAGGAGAACTGAACATGGTGTAGACATTCTAGTATTTTATCTGCAGATCCACCAGTTATTCTCTGTATTTGAAATATATAAGCTAGTACAGTGTCAGTCTCTATTTGACCGTTAGGGCAGAGATTGATGATGCTGTATAACCCTCCTAAAGTCTCTTTTTAAAAAGAGACTAGTAAAAGAAGCCTTGAGACTTAATTTTCATGCGGCCTGGAAGCTGTCACTGAGTCCGTAAATTGAAGTATGACGTTGTGCAGTGATACGCTAATGGAGGAAGAAGTGCAGAACAGCCTCAAGGGTGTCCTTCGGGAAGTTGACAGAGTTTGTTACAAATGTGATATCAAACTGCAGTGAGGTGGGACTGAAGACCTGCAAAGCACAGGCAGGCTTTCTGTGAGACATGGGACTTGCCACAAATGGCACATCTGGCTTCTTGAGCAGTTTCATTCAGACTGTTTATGAGCTCATCAGAATATTGAGCGGCAGGACAAGGTCAGCAGCAACAAACACTTGGAATGCAGCCTATGTACAAGCTTTGAAATAATTCTTCTCATAACCGCTTTGCCGAGCTGGATGTGAGTGCAAAATGAACTACAGCAGGACTCCTAAGCACCTGTTAAATAGCAAGCTGAGGTGGGGAAGCACAAGCCAAGAAGGCAGAAGAACTGTTTCAAGATTCACTATAATTCACCCCTAAGCAACGAGGCCTATTGGGGTAAGCCCAGCAGCTGACGAGCAGCCTGGCATGCAGCTGTAAGGGATGGGTTTGCTGCTTGTGAGCAAAAGCTTCAGGCTGGCTGTGCGTTGAAAAAGCAAGACCACAGACAATGCCAGGCTATTTACATAGCAGACGCAGCTGCTAACGGAAGGGCAAACTTGACGTGTGTTCTGTGTGGAAGAGATTGTTGCTCTCATTTTATTGTCTTTGGCCGTATGCATGAATCTGATTCAGGAAAGACATTTATACATACACAAATGTGTATAAATAAGTGTAGAGTTCTGCTCTACTACTTTCCACCCCTTCGTCAACCAAAACAAACATTCAATCAAAAAATAGTGATTGTGATGAAATACTGGGAATAGAGCAATGTAACCTTTTTAGTTTTTTATTTTTTACTAGTCTCATCACATTTTTATTTTATCAGAATGCTTAAAAGACTAATAATGTACTCAAACTAATAATGTAACAGTACCTTTAAATTTGAATAGTACCTTATAAATTTTAAATTATAAAATACCTTATAACCATTTTACTATACACTATTTTCTAGTTCCTTTCCTATGGATTTCTTTCACAAGATTGCTTATTCCTCTTTGTCTCCTGCTAGGGCCTGGCCCAGTAAAGGCTATATACCTCCTAATGGGTGTTCAGTAAAAAATTGTTTCACTGCATTGAACTCCAAGGATTCAGATATCAATGTATGGTAACCTAATAGATAGATAATTTTCACCAGCGTCTCTTAAATCCTTAGCAATGTCATGTGGTGGTCTAATTCCAACAATCTGAAGGTGCTATATTAGACCCGCAGTATGTTAACAATTTTTTACCTTTTTTGACTTGAGTTTGCAACATTCCTGGCCTTTCATCCGTTTTCCTATTTTCCTGGGTTCTTGAGTTATATACTTGTGTCACTTTTTCTGATACCAGGGAGAGAAACTCCATGATGAGTTAGATGAACTAAAAGCATGAAGTTGGAAGAAGGATAATAATAGATATGGCATATGGGTGAAAAAGGAATACACATATGGGATCTGAAGAGCTAAAATACAGGCAGAGCTGTAGAGAGAGAAAAGGTAGGAAAACAGAGGCAGAGAGAGTTCAAAGAAGAACTGAGAGATTCACACAATGCTAGAGTCCCCCCAGCACCCAAAGAGAGACAAATACTGTGCTGAGAAACCTCACAGCTACACTCTTTGAAGAAGACATGTTTCTTATTACATGAAACAAAATATACCACTTTGTGTGCATGGTTACATTTATATATTTATAAAAATTATTTTTTTATTGAGGTATAATTGATGTACAACATTATATTAGTTTCAGATGTATGACAATTATTCAGTATTTGTATATATTGCAAAATGATCACAGTAAGTTTAGTTAAAATCTGTCACCATATATAGTTATCAGAATTCTTGATTTCCATTTAGAAGCCTATATAATTGGAATGATCCTGTGATTTTTGACACCCTCAAAGCATGGATGATATTTTTACCCAGAAATTACTTTTGTTTATAAGGAGATTTCATTGTTAAGCCCTGCTGTTTGTAATTTGTTGAATGAAATGTTGGATTTTCCAGTACAGAAGCAGAGAAAATAACTTTGGTTGTAAAATATAAATTAGTAAACTGTGCAAAAAGATATATTTTGAATTTTTGTCCTTTCAGCTTTTACTGCTTTTTTTCTTTAAAGTTACTTATTCTTGGTTTGGGATAGTAATGAATAAAGTAATTGACTTTCCATTGCACTGTTAAGATTATTGGATGGGAATAGTCTGTATTGCCCTCTATTGGTGATTATTAGTTATTGTTTACAAAATAATTGCTGCTATATATGTCATTTATGTGTATTTAATAATTGTATCAACCAGTATATTTTATAGAAAAGTGCTTTTAAAAACTGACCTAATAGTTATGGATGTGAATTGGCAAAAGGGAGAAAAATTGATATTTTGGGTTTCTTGATTTAATAGTTTTATTGACTAAGATAGTATTGAAATACTTTTGCCTTTGATTAATTTTAATTTTAATTTTTTCTTCTCAGAGCTCCGCCTCAGATAAGGCGCCCCAATCGAGAAGTAAGACCTCTGAGAAAAGAAATGCCAGGAGTAGGAGCCCGGGGACCTGTCGGCCGAGCGCATCCTATATCAAAGAGTGAAAAACCCTCCACAAGTAGGGACAAGGATTACAGAGCCAAAGGGAGAGATGACAAGGCAAGACCGTCTCTTTGTAACTCACTCACGTGAAGCCTGTGACTTTTGGTGCATATTATAATTTGTGTTGGCTTTTCAGAGTACCCTGATTTTGACATGGAAGAGATTAGAAAAAGTCTGATTCAAAACCCTAAGCAGTCTTTGCATTTCGAAGGCCATTCTACAATGCCAGTAACCTCAGAGGTATATTAAAAAAATACACACACACGATCTTTAGTAAAATGGGTCTTTTGTAGAAATATTTAAAATAAAGTTTTAAAACTTTAAAAAATATTTTAATGAATATTCTCCATTGAAATGAACAATAAATGAAAACATAATTGTGGGGAAAAGACCTATAAAGAAATAGATGTATACATTCATAGAATAAAATGATGGATGTGATTCACTGCTGCTAAAAATAAAAAAAAAATCTTTGATTTATCTGTAAATTTCAGAGTAGAACATGGTTTTCTTTTTTCTTTAATGAGAAAATTTCCCTCGATTAGGGTTCACTGTGTCTATTGACTTTATCTGGGAGGTTGGTCAGTGAATAAACATAGTATTGGATGGAAATTCTGTACTGCTGTACCAGGCCCTTTTGAAGCTTTTTACTTATTTTGGCTTATTTAATTCCTATAAATTCCTGTGAACTCATCTTTATGTCTCCTGTTCCACGTAAGAAGAAACTGAGGCACCAAAGTCATAACTGCAAGTAGATGGTAGAACTAGGATTTGAACTCTAGTTCCTGAGCTTTTAATCATTAGACTGTGCAGCCTCTTATTTGAAAATGCTTACTGTCTTATTTTAATGTATCATGAATACCTGTTTCTTATGAGAGTACCAGTTCATTTTCTGAGAGTGATTAAATCTTTTCTTTAACTTTGTTTAAACTGTTGACAGGCTTCAAGTTAGATCCAAGCTTAAAAACACTGTTTTTCAGTAAGTAAGAATCACTTTCTATGGTGATGTGTTGTTCAGGCCTTACAGTTTTTTCTCCCCTGATGGTCACAGAATCATCATAAGGCCAGTTTGTTACCCCATTTACTTGAAGCACATTTAAGTGAGTATTTGTGTCAGTCGTTATGTCTAGGTACTAGGAATACAAACTTTAATAAAGTATAACTCCTGGCCTCAAATTGATCTTTTCTTATTGAAGAGAGGGAGTCAGATGAATAAATTAACTTTTACAGCTGTATTTTTCAGTCTTATTTGAATGTACCTGAGAAAATTAGATGTATTATTATTTTATTGTCTTGAATCAGTATAGAAATGTGCATAGAAATAACAAATCCATTTTTTATTTAAAAGAGATAGTCTAAAAATATTAGTTAGCAGAAGAAATGTTTTGTCTTATAACAAAAAATAAATTTAATTCATAAAACTCTGATTTTCAAATATTTTTAAGACTAACTTTATGGTTAATTAACTCTTAGTGAAATGAGCAGTGTTTCCATTATGATCTCATGATTAAAGCTGTATATACTTTTAAATAGAATTCAGATTAAAGTATGATAAATTATATTCATAAAATTAACTTAAAGTTATTAAACTTGACTTCAGCCTTGAATTACCTACAACAGATGGCCATTTTTGAATACACTCCTTCTCATAACTGAGTAAGTCGAGGGATGTCTGATGTACAGAAATGTTGTAAACTGGGTTGGAGTATTCTTTTGAGAGCTGTTGATTGGTGATTGCACAAATGAACAGTGACTTAAAAAAATTATTGTTGAAGAAGTGTGCACAAATTAGAAGGGTACTAACTGATGAATGATGATCATCTAACCAGCAGTGTACTGGTACGTGTTTAATAATTAATTTTCCGAAAAAAAGTGTGTGTGTCTGTCTATAAGAATGTGTAGCACATAATTTACAAATAATAAAATATACAATGCTCTTTATTGTAAATTTCATTGAGCCAGTGGTCTCTCACAGAACCACCTTTGCTGTATTTTGCTCAGCTCGTGTATCTGTAGCCAACCTATGGTTGCAGTGGACAGATGAGTGGGAATGTAGTTCTGGTGTGAATGTTGGTTGATATTTTGTTTCCATTAATTAGTAAGATGAAAGTGAGACAAAAACACTGGAACTTCACTCATTTGTCCATCACTCGAGCAACTTTGATGAATCAGATAATACTTTTCAAATACTCGAAAAATATTTCCTTAATTTTTGTGCTATTTACAATGTAGCAGCTACAGAAATGACACACTTTTAAGTTTCATCTGCATTATTAACATTTTCCCCATTATTTTCTTAAGTCTAGACAATTAATAAAATAACAAGTCAAGCCCCGATTTGTAGTATTTGCTAATTTCTATGGTATAAATACTTCCACTAAGACCAATTTCAAGCTGAACCGAACTCAGAGTGGAGAGGAGGTATGGGTAGTAGACTACCATTATGTAGTGTTTCCACTAAACAGATACAGTGAGCTTATAAACTCCAAGTGCATGGATAATAGGTAAATAATGAAAAGGTGAGCAGTTTTGAGTATTTTTTTACCTTTGTTTTTAATATAATTTAAATTTGTGTAATTTAATTTTTATTAATGGGTGTGTGTTACAGCTGGCTTGCAAATGTCCTGAAAATTTAATGATGGGCTCTTGCAAACCATTAAGAGTCAGCTTCAGCATACCACTGCATGTAACCCCAGTAACCACCGTATAATCCACGCAGCTATCACTCAGAGGTCAAGAGCAGAACAGTTAGCGCCTCGGAAGGCATGTTCACAGTCCCTCCTGATCCCTGCCATGTCCTTCCCCCAAATGACCACTGTTCCGCCACTTCCCCCCCAAAGGTGACCACTGTTCTGATCTCTAATACCGTAAATGACTGATGCCTATTTTGAAACTTTATGTACAGTAAGTATTATTTTTTGTCTGGCTTTTTTTACTCAGCATATGTTTGTGAGATTTCTCCATGCTGTTGCATATATCTAAAGTTTGTTTGTTTTCATTCATACGCAGTATTATACCGCAGTTAAATCTGTTTTACTGTTAATGGATATTTGGATTGCTTTTTGTTTGGAACTATTATTAGTAGTGCTGTTTTGGGTAGTTTTCTGCTTATCCTTTGGTATATATGTGCAGTCATTTCTAGTGAGCTTATACCTAGGGGTGGAATTGGGGGGTCTTAGGATATGCGTGTGTTAAGCTTTAGTAGATAACACCAGATAGTTTTCCAAAGTGATTATACCAATTTCCACTCCCACCTCAGAGTATAAAAGTTCTGGTTGCTCCCATCCTCACCAGCACTTGATATTGTCTGTCTCTCGTGGGTGTAATCATAGCTCGTTGTGATTTTATCAGTATATTTAACGTGTATTGTATATTTACCTGATAACTTACAAGGTTGAAAATGCTTTTGTCTGTTTATTGGCCACTTGTGTTATCAATGACTTGTTTTTAAGAAATATCTTCTCTATCCTTTGGATATTCAATCACTCTACAGATTCTTCATCTGATGGCAGCTAATTTATAGTGGTGTTTTTTGCTTTTATTTTGCTTTTTACCTTATTACATTAGATTACAGTAAAGTAGTTACTGTTCTGTCCCTAAGTGTTTTACTGTGTGTTTTACTTATTTATGAGCTGTGTCCCCTAATGTGAACGTGTGCCTCATGAAGGCAGGGATTTTGTCTGTTTGGTTCATTGCTGTTCCCCAGGAGGTAGAATAGTGCCTGGCACATAGTAAATATTCGTAGATAGAAATGTGTTGAAAGAACATATTTATTGATAAGTATGCAGAAGCTGTGGGTTCATTATTTCAACTTAAATGTATTTTGTATTAACATCCCAGTACAGGGCATAGCACTGAAATTAGTAAGCTCTGTTTTGCATTGATCAACCTATTTTCCTTTGTAAAATAGTAAAGACTTAGAATGAGATGCAGTTGAGAGATCTTGTCTAACTTTTCCTGTGTTTGCTTCCCACACCGGGGTAGGAGTAGCCCCAAGTGTGCAGCAGTATGCCGTAGTGTACAAAGTAGTTGGAAGCACTGATTCTGGAGCCAGACAGCCAAGGATATAGCTGTGTGTCCTTGGACAATTTACTTAACCTCTCTGAGCTTCAGGTGTCATCTATGAGATGAAAATAATCAGAGTACCTGCCTCATAGGACCTTTAAGATGGTTCTGTTAAGTGCTTAGAACAGTGCCTGGCACACAGTAAGCAGTAGGTGAGTGTTAGCTATAAAGGTAACATGAAAGTGGGGAACTAACACAGATATGGTACAGAATATAAATCACTTTCTTAAAAAAGAGAAAATGAGGTTTCCAAGAAATTTTGCACTTGCCTTGGGCTGTTGAATTCAGGAAACAAATGAGTAAGTGGGCAAGTGAGAGACAGTGTCTTTACAGAAAGAACCAAAGGTCAGCTATCATTCAGCTTAGACGTCCCTGTGACTGTGGATCGGTGGTTTTTATTACTAATGAGCCAGTAATTCTGATGTGAGACGCTCACTACCTAACAAGAGAGATGACTCCTTTGTTGGATAGAACTCATTGTTAGAAAATTATTTCTTTTGTTGATCTGAAATTTACCTCTTTGTCACTTCATCGTGGTCCTGGTTCATTCCTTTGGAGTAATGTAAATAGAGGTAAATAGGTCAGTTGGTTGTATTGCTATTTTAGCATTTTCTTCTTCAGCTTAAATGTCTCTAGGGCCCTCAATCCTCCTCCGTATGACTTGTTTTTTGAACCTGTTATCACCCTGGTCATCCTTCTTTGGGTAATTCACTTGTCAGCATTTCTCTTAAGATGTACGACTGAGAGCTAGTAACTGACCGTGTCTCACTTGAGCTGCCGCCGTGAGAAAGCACACAGTAAAGTGCAAAAACCATCTGCATTTTAGGTCAACCTGTGTCATGACTGGCTGTATTACTTTGAATAAGTCACTAATTTTAGCTCCATTTCCCTCAAATAGAATGATTAGCCAATACTAGTGAAAGATCATTAACAGACTTTCTTGATAGGGGTAATTTGGATATTAGTAAAAAGAAGCTAAAATGTTTTGCTTTAACAAGAAAAAAAGTGTTTCAAATTTCACGATAAATGTCAAATTTTTGCCAGTGTTGACCTTAGTCAATTAATATGAAAATCTAATCAGAGAATTGTAAGATCATTTCAGTGGCACTGCAGCTAGTATTATTATAAACTGTACAGGTAATAATGTCTTGGGTGAAGTTAGCTTTATTGCCTAAAAACGAAGTTTCTTTTGGGTATTGCAGTTAGTCTAGCTGGTTACCTGAAACCAGTTACTTATATTTGATATCTTATTCCAATTTCTTTGAGTACATATTTTGAAAGGTAATAGTCCCCCATTTTGTTTATTTCCCAATGTAACCAAATTATTTATTTTTACTTTTCCTACACCTATTTTTTAATAACCTCACCATTTTGATTTGAAAAAGTTCCTAGAATCTTCTTTGGAGGACTTAATTTGTATTCGAGTCTCATCCCTACTGTAGAGGAACTGGATTCTAGGGCACGTCATTTGACTGGCTTGTGCCCACGTTTGCTCTTCTGTGGCTTCAGAGGCTTGGCCTGGAGTGCTCCACTCCATAGGCTTTTCTTTCTCTGCTTCTGCTGCTCCCTCTGCTTCATCCTTTTTCTACACAACAGCCAGAAGGGTCGTTTACAAATGTGAGATCCTGTCATTCCCCTGTTTTAACACATTTCAAAAATTTATCCCTACACTCAGAATAAAATCCAGACTCCTTCCCATGGCCTATAGGAGCTGGGGTGAGCTGGCCTCTGCCCGTCTCTCCAATTTATTCCTTTTGCTCAATACCTTTTAGCCACAGTGACCACTCAGCTTTTTCATAGCACTTCACAGTATGTAATAATGTGTTTTTGGTTTGTTTACTTGTTACTTGTTTCCCCCACTAGACTAGATGCTCCATGAAGGCAGATAGTGTATTCTCAATCACTAATCTAAGACCTAATGCACAATAAAATGTGTTAGACATAGATGCTCACATCTTTATTGTCCTTAAAATCCTATGATTCCTGTTACTTTCAGGTAAGTGTACAGCTTTTCCTTTCCCTTGGTAGTGCTTATCAAGTCCTCCCGACCTCTTGGACATTCATATTAAAATGGCTGTCTGCTGATATTTCTTAATACTAAATTTTGGTAAGTCTCAAATTGCAATGCCATATCGAGGCTTTTTAAGTCCCAGATATATCATTTCTGTTGCATTCTTTAGTTGATTTATTTCTAGAAGAGTTTTAAAATGATTATAGAGTGTTCCAATGATTTGTTTGAATGTGACTTTGTAGCCTTGGCCTATCTTATTATAAAATGTTATTCTAGGCTGAGTTTATTTTAAATTTGTTGATGTTGTTATGTTGTTGTTGTGTAAGTATGTCAGACATTTACTCCTTTTTTTTTTTTTTTTTTTTTGGTGAGGAAGATTGGCCCTGAGCTAACACCTGTTGCCAATCCTCCTCTTTTTGCTCGAGGGAGATTGTCATTGCGCTAACATTTGTGCCAGTCCTCCTCCATTTTGTATGTGGGATGCCGCCTCAGCATGGCTTGTTGAGTGATGTGCAGGTCTGCACCTGGGATCTGAACCAGCAAACCCTGGGCTGCTATGTGTGAACATAACTGCTATGCTACCAGCCTGGCCCCATGAAATTTACTCCTTTTAATAGTGTCAATATTGGTATCTGTCATCTGAAGTACAAGAATCTTTCTGAAAATTTAGCTTAATATTGTCATCATGCTACCTAGAAACAGTAAATTATTCATTTGCCCAAAGGGACCTATTTAGTCCCCTCTCAGCACTTACAGTCAAGCCTGTAGTTTATCTCAGCTGAAGTGTGGTAGGAGGGGTTCATCCTCTTCTCTCTCTTCAGATTTAAGCTTAGGAAATGGACTCATGTTTTGAGCGTTTCCCCCTTCATTTTTGTCTTCAGCAGTAGCTGTGGGGCTGACGTTCTGGGGGGCACTTGGCTCTGTCTGCTGAAGCAGTTCCAGTGGCTGAACCAACTCTGGCGCCTGAGCACATTTCATTTAAAACTCCTCACAGCTCCCCAAGTCTTGGGAGAACCCCATAGAAACCATAGTATATAATTCTTTTTTAAAGCCACCATATTTTTAAGTAAGGAATTTGGGGTAAAGTATATTGCTTTGATGGTATTAATACTACAATTTAAAAAGCTCCTTTACCATTGTCATTACGGTGACTTTATGATGTGGTCCAAGGACCTTACTAGGAAGAAACCCTGAATGCTGTACTTAGAGTAACAGGGAAAAGACTTTGTGAGGTGCAGTTCAGAGTCCCAACTCTTTCCTCACCCGCAGGCTCTTTCCTGGATGCTTTGGAGGGTGTGATAGTTCTGCCGTACGCAGCCCTCTCGTAAGCTTTAAGCTGACTGGGCCAGGCGCGAGGTAGTCTGATGTCGTGGAAGGTGCACGGGTTTGGGGGGTCAGGAAGACCTGAGTTAACCTCTCTACTCAGATATTTAATAATTGTGAACTTAAGTTACGTAACCTTTCTGAGTCCCAGTTCCTTATCCTTAAAAATAAGGATAATCATGCCTACCTTGTGGGGTGGTTGTGAGTATTGAATTAGATAATGTAGGTGAGATTTCTTGCCGTATAGTAGGCTCTCAGTAAATTAATTTTCTTTCTTCCTCTGCATTAATATTCTAAATATTCTCTGGCGGTGGTGGAGATCCCCTGCATCCACAAATTCAGAGGTTTCTAGCAAGTATTAGTCTCACCTACAACTGTCCCCAAGAATGTAAATTTGAAGAAGTGTATAATAAAGTTGGCTAGTTCATCTGTTATTGATGAATTAAATAGGGGAGGATGGCATTGGGTAATAAGAAAATAATAAAAAGTCATTTTAAAAATGATTACATTACAATATTTTGAAAGCCTAACGATGTTAATTTAATTATTGACCAGTATTTTTTTTACACCTGTCCCCAGGGAAGGAAACATATGCAAGATGGTGCAAGTGATGGTGAAATTCCAAAATTTGATGGTGCTGGATATGATAAGGACTTGGTGGAGGCCCTCGAGAGAGACATCGTGTCCAGGAATCCTAGCATTCATTGGTTAGAGTCTTTTAAGTTCTTTAATTAAAACGGTGGAGAAAGTAAGCTATAGGTTGGCTTGATGTGAGTCTTCTCTTGTTATCCATTAACCTCCTGACTGTGACTTCATCCATAACGTGAGTGTGTAGAATTGATAGGACAGATCTTTCAGAATATAACCAAGACATTTTACATGTTAATTTGATGTTGACATAACTGACAAAGGTTGTTAATTGAATAACATGTCCTAATTAATAACTGCAGTATGTTTTCACTGATCATTTTATGCTGTAAGAATTAGAATAATGTTCTTAATATAATAATAATTTCATAAGTAAAAAAATTTAAAAGAATCAGTATTAACCATAACTGAAAGTTGTCCCTGAATAAACATGAAACTTGCTGTTCTCGCAAAGGGATGACATAGCGGATCTGGAAGAAGCTAAGAAGTTGCTGAGGGAAGCTGTTGTTCTTCCGATGTGGATGCCTGACTTCTTCAAAGGGATTAGAAGGCCATGGAAGGTGAGAATTTATTAAAATAATATAGGGATAAAAATGCTGCTTGCGTGATAATGAAAGACAGCATTGTAGTTTCTTAACGTATTTATTGACACAGTTTGTAAAAGTTAGGGAGGTTTGGGTGCCCTCCAGATATCTGGATTTGAATTTGTGATTGAGGTGGGCTCCCTCTGCACAGCAGGAGAGGCGCTTGGAGTTTTGGAACTATAGTCTTTATTTAAAGTCATTTCCCTCAGGGGCACTGAGCTAGAGATTAGTTTTAAGAACTTCCTAGATGTTTGTTTCTATAAGTAAAAAGTTAACAAGCAAACTAAATAGTAATAATGCATAGTCTTACAGAATAAGTGTTTTATCAAATAAATATCTTTCTAAAAGTTGGCATATTTCTCACGAATTAATTATTTTGATCACTTCATCAAGGCTTGGTATAATTCGCAGACATAATCAGAATGTTTGCTTCTTTCTAGCTTACCCTCTGCTTTGAGTTTAAAGCCTGCCTGGGACTAGTTCCTCCCAGGTCCAGTGTTTCCATTTTGGCGTATTAAAAATCCTTCCAGCGACTGCTGCCTGGAACTCCTTTTGGTCTTAGCCATAGGCAGAGTCTTCCTTTATTCTGGCTGGTAGAGGGGAATAAAAGCGTGATCTTACTTTGCACTTCTGAATTAGCTAGGAAGGTCTCTTTCTCTTCTCAGTAACCTCCTCTTTCGAGGTGCCCAAAAGTAGAGAGGAGGAGAAATTGTGTATTTACATAAGTAGCTTGGAACACCTGTGGCATTTTGATTGCCTCTCACAACTTAAAAACTTTTATAGACTGTTTGTTATAGATTTAGGTATTTTGGGGAACGTATTACCATACATTTTCCCTTTATTATAACTTTTACAGCAATATTTAAAAGAGAGACTAAGGTCTTAAAATAGATATTTAAAGGAATTGTGAAACACCTGGAGTGATAAGTGTAACCTATCCATCATGATGAGCTCTGTAAAGTTTTTAGCAGGAGAGTGATTTGCAAATATAGAAAGATGGATTGCAGCAGTATGGAGGATGGGTTGGAGATGGGCATAGATGGATGTAGATGAGGAATCTGTTGCAGTAGTCTAGCTGGATGATGAAGACTTGAACAAAGGCATTTTTTATTTGGCTAATGAAAAATGGGTGTGTTTCTGAGAGGTGTTTAAAAGGTACAAGTGATAACATTATGGCTGATAATTTATAGGGATGAGGGAGAGGGACCAGTTGTATGACTCCTAGATTCCAGGTTTGAACTGAAGGAGTATACAGTTACTTCTGACACCAGCTACCCCAAATTGAGCCAGACTTCACAAGTTGAGGGCAATTTTCCACAAGACTGCCCTAATTTCAGATGCTAGCTGCAAACTTGGGGGTCTCCAGGTCCCCTTCACTTCTGACCAGTGGGCTATAAAATTCAGGGATTCTCCCTACCTGCTCAGGTTCAACAATTCCCCAGAATAACTCACAGGATTTAGGAAAGCATTATGCTTGCAATTACAGTTTTGTTATAACAAAATGAATCAAATCAGCACTAGGCAAAAGAAGAAATGCACAGGGCGAGATCTGGGAGGATAGTGAAGGTGGAGCTCCTGTTGTCTTCTGCCTGTGAAATGAGGATGCTGTACCCTCCTTGTGCGTGGATGTGTGACGATACGTAGAGTACTGCCAACAGGGAGCTTCACTCAAGCTTCGGTGTCCAGAGTTGTTATTGGGGTTTCATTACAAAGTCATGATTGATTGAATCATTGCCCATGTGTCTCAGTCTCTAGTCCCCCTTCTCTCCCCAGAGGTCCAGTTGATAGCACTGGCTTAAAGCCCCAGTCCTCTAATCTTGTGGTTGGCTTTTCTGGTGAGGCCAGCCTCTGTCCTAAGTCATCTCATTAGCATCAAGTATATAGGGGCCCATCATGAGTCACCTCATTCAGGGCCCAACATGAACAACAAAGGTAATCCTGTCACTTTGGAAATTCTGAGGATTTAGAGTCTACCTCCCAGGAACTGGGGGAAAAGGCCAGTACAATGAGCTGATATTGGATATTGAGAAGAGGAGAAGGTTTAAATAGAAACAAAATATATGTAGGTAAATACTCAGTAAGTAATTGGAAATAGAGGTTTAGCGCTTAAATAGAATTTGAGTTTAAATTAAAATTGTAAGATGTAAGTGGTGATTGATAATATACATATAGAAATTGTTCAAGGAGTTTTATAAAGGGAAAAGAACAAAAGACTCAGAATTGCTTTGGGAATGTAAAGGGCAGGGGAAAGAGGAGACCTGAAAGACACTGTCTTGAGCAGGAGAGGCATCAGGAAAGAGCAGTGCCACAGAACCAACCTGGGGAGAAAGGGCTTCAAGAAGAAGAAAATGAACACCAGGTATCAACAGTGTCAAAGGTCAGAGAGAAGGAAAGAAGATATGAATTGAAGATTGACCACTGACTTAGTGAATTAGGTACTTTTAGTGAGGTAGTGGAGGCAGAAGTCAGACTGTAGCTTGTGGAGAAAAAATAGTAAACATAAACCATTTATTCAGGAAGCTTGGCTGAGAAGGGAAGGAGAGGTGGATAGTAGCTAAAGGATTTGTAGGGTCAAGTGAAGGGTTTTTTTCAAATGGGACAGATTTGAGTATGTTTCTCTACTGAGGAGAAAGAGCCAATAGAGAAGGAGATGGAAAATAGAGGAGATGATTGAAGGAGTAATGTCATGAGGAGGTGAAGTTTATAAATATTGTATCTATGAGCTGTACCTATGTACAGGTGCTAACGGTGGAAATTAACTCCTACTGGAGGGCCATTTAATGACAATACAGGAACTGAGAGGGCATTGAAAGGGGACATTAGAAAGAGAAATATGAACTTTGCTACAGTTGTTCCTATCCCATTAGTTGTTTTTACAATTTTCAAAGTATCAGTCTCATGCACAGCTAAAGGCTCTTTGCAAAGCACGAATTTTTTATAAAACTAACGTTTCAAATCCTAGTGATCCCTAGTTGTTCTGGGTACCAAAACTCTATAGCTAGAAAAGGATTTGGACAGTTTCTGAATTTAGACTTTATGAAACTTTGATGCACACAGTTTTCAAAGTTTAAATCCCCAGAATAACTAGTATTAGTTACTAATAGCTACTGAATGAATCTTTATTTTTGATTAAAAGCTATATATTGTAAGTGTGTTTTGGAAGATTAGTTTTGTCCCTTAGAAGGGCAAGGAATGTATAATTCTACACGTGGTAGAAGGTGTTGTCTGGTTTTCATTGTGTTTTAACAGCAGTCATTCTTAAGTGGTGTTCAAGACTCCACATAGTTGTCTTCTGCCAGGTTCAGGAAAATTGGCTAGATTCTTTCTAAATATATCAGAAGATTCCTTTTCTGTAGACCGTTTGTTAGCCCATCTCTGAGTACCTCTGGTTTGAGACATTTTATGGAATCACTCTTCATTTTTTTTCTGTCTGTAAAGTGATACTTGTGCTAAATGCACCATGATTTTACTGCGACAGTTGAGTTTGTCTTTTGATGGGAAAATTTTCATGTACATTAAGAAGGCATTTTAATCTGATAAATCATTTAATACACCTTTTGAAATTTCAGGGTGTGCTGATGGTTGGACCCCCAGGCACTGGTAAGACTATGCTAGCTAAAGCTGTCGCCACGGAATGTGGCACAACGTTCTTCAACGTTTCCTCTTCTACACTGACGTCTAAATATAGAGGTGAATCTGAGAAGTTAGTCCGTCTGTTGTTTGAAATGGTGAGTGATGATATATTCAGATTTCAAGGTACTGTTTGTGTAGACGAATGATGTCCCTATAATCTAGATCCGTTCACCCAAGGATTTTTTTTAAAAAGGGCAAGTGTAGTTTCGTTTGATAGTTCTTAACACACTAACAAGATTTGGGGTGGTGAGTTTTGTGGACTAGTCGATGTGTCTTCAATGTATCCTCCTCTCTGAGGTAAAAGAAGGCCCTTTGGCATCCTGTCCAGTGAGTGTGGAAGAGACTTTGGAAATGTGTGTGGTTTGACCGATATTTCTGGATCTTTAATGAACTGATTGAACAGAAGTATATTTTAAAAACTAGTTAGGAATTAACCTGTCATTAAAATCTGTTTCTTTTTCATAAAGGATTTGCAGTAGTTACGTAAGAATGCATATTTGAGGCTAGAGGTTGATAATTTATCTTAAAAAAAACTTTTGAGGAGCTGGCCTTGTGGCTTAGTGGTTAAAGTTCCCTGTGCTCCACTTTGGTGTCCCAGGTTCATAGGTTTGGATCCCGGGTGCAGACCTACTCCACTCATCAGCCAGGCTGTGACAGCATCCCACGTACAAAGTAGAGGAAGATTGGCACAGATGTGAGCTCAGGGCTAATTTTCCTCAAGCAAAAGAAGAGGAGCATTGGCAACAGATGTTAGCTCAGGGTGAATCTTCCTCACGAAAAAAAAATTATATTACAGAAATTTTCAAACACAAAAGTAGAAATAATAGTACTATGAATCCCTGTGTATCTGTCACTCAACTTCACTCAACATACAACTTACCTGTTACTTTTAGAAATTTCTTTTTTTCTGATATGAATGATTGATTTAACCTCTGTCAGTAGCCAATTGGTGGGATTAAAGCAGTGAGAATGTTGTTTAAGAAGGAAGAAATGGCAGTTTTAAAAATTCAGGTTATTTTATGAGAGAATTGAATGATTTCTTTAAAATCTTTTCACAAAGGCTAGATTTTATGCCCCCACCACAATCTTCATTGATGAGATAGATTCTATCTGCAGTCGAAGAGGAACCTCTGATGAACATGAGGCCAGTCGCAGAGTCAAGTCTGAACTACTCATTCAGATGGATGGTAATTGATATTTTATTACTGTCTCAAAACTGTTGTATTGCCTTTTTGAATTTTATGTAGATTCATACTTTGGAAATTCTTAATGAATGAACTAAATGGCAGCCTGGATTTACAGTGTAACCTGTCTTTCAAATTTATGGTTGCACGCATGTTAAGTAAATGTGAATCCTCTTCTGTTCTCTCTTCTTGAGAAAATCAAGTAAATTAGACTAACAACTAAAATAACATTTTTGAGGAACTTCATGATTTAAAAAAGTAAGAAAGGAATAAAACAGCGTAATCTCTCCTGCTTTTTCTATTCAGAGGAAATATACATTCATTTTCTTACAGAAAAAATTGGTTTTTCTTACTGGATTAGAATCCTGCGATAGATTATGTGACTTCTACCTCTTTGTTTTATAGTTCCCTGTTGATGTGTCTGGTTTTGCCACCATATAGAGGTCGGCAGGACTGCATTATTTTTGTCACTAAGCCTGCCACCAAGCCTGCAGCTGATGGTTAGAAATGTTGGTCGAGTGAAAGAATAAAAGATTGTAAGAAAAACAATCTTTTTCCCCCTTACTGTGTACAGGAGTTGGAGGAGCTTTAGAGAATGACGATCCTTCCAAAATGGTTATGGTGTTGGCTGCTACTAATTTCCCATGGGACATTGATGAAGCTTTGCGAAGGAGATTAGAAAAAAGGATATATATACCACTCCCAACAGGTATGATACCTTCCTTTTGCTGTATTTTGCTCTTCCTTTTACTTTCTGTTACCTTTTTCTATTTCTCTAGGTCTTTATTCCATTAGTATTCTGCTTAAAGAAGTTTGTAGCATCACACCAGCAGTTTGTAGTAGACAGCAGGTCACAGGACTCTGTTGAAGTTCCTTACATTTCAGAGTAATTCTTACGTTCAGAGCTGTATTCGTGTTAATAGACCTGGTAGGACATCTAAGTTTTTAGTTTTAAACTTGAAGAGTCTTCAGTAGACCTTAAGTGATTACAGGTAAAGTTCTCTTAGGATCTTTTTCAAAATATGCTGCTTTGAAAAATATAATTTCATCCTATTGATGAATGTTGAAATTTTCATAAATGAATTTTTTCTTATTGTATTGAGATAAAATTTACATACAGTGAAATGTTAGATCTTAAGTGTATAATTTGGTGAGTTTTGACAAATGAATACTCCTGTTTAATCAATACCCTAATCAAGATGTAGGACATTTCTGTCACCTCAGAAAGTTTCTCTGTGCTCCCTACCAGTTAATTCAAGCCCCTTCTAGGCATTCACTTTTCTGATTTTTATCACCATTGATAAGTTTTACCTATTGTTAAACTTCATATAAATGGAATCACGAGGTATGTACTCTTGTGTGTCTGGCTTCTTTCACTCAGTGTAATGTTTTTGAGATTCATCCATGTGGCTACATGTATCAGTAGTTTATTTGTGATATGATAGTACCAAAATTTGTTTATTCTCTTTTTGATGGGACATTTTGAGTTATTTTTAGTTTTTGGCTATTATGAATGAAACCATATAAATATTCTTGTATAAATCTTTTTATGGATGAATGTTTTCAATTCTTTTGGGTAGTATAGATAAGACTAGAATAGGTGGGTCATAGGGTAGGTGTATGTTTAACTTTATAAGCTCAAACTGTTTTCCTAAGTGGTTGTACCATTTTTACTCCTACCATCAAGGATTGAGAATTCCAATACTTCCACATCCTAGCCAACATTTGGTATTGTCAGTATTTGAATTTTAGTCATTCTAGTGAGTGAGAAATGCTGTCTCATTGTGGTTTTAATTTCCATTTCTCTGATGACTAATGATGGAGCACCTTTTCATGTGCCCATTGGTCATCGGTATATCTTTTGTGCAGTGTCTTTCCAAGTCTTTTTCTCAGTTTTTAATTGGCTTATTTGCTGTTTTACTAATGCTGTGATGTTCTTTATCAGATACGTGCATTGTGAATCTTTTCTTCCAGTTTGTGGTTTGCCTTTCAGCTTTCCTTATGTTGTCTTTTGATAAGCAGGCATTTAAATTTTGATGAAGTCCTCTTGTCATTTTCCTTTTATGCATAGTGTTTTTTATGTGTTAAGAAATCTTTGCTTACCCTAAGAGGGCAAAGGTTTTCTCCTATATTTTCTTTTAGAAACTATAGTTAGATCTGTGATCCATCTTGAATTAATTTTATGTACATGTATCAGTTAGGGGTTGAGTTTGATTTTTTTCATACGTATGTTGAATTGTTTTAGCACCACTTGTTAAAAGGAGTTTTCTGTTTTTCCATTAAATTTCTTTGGCACCTTTGTTGTAATTTTTTTTTAATTATTAAAAAAAATAGATATAGTGCCGTCTACTCAGGTTATCTATTTTTTCTTGAGTAAGCTTTAATAGCTTGTGTTTTTCAAAGAATTTATCCATTTCCTTTAAGTTGTCTAATTTATTGGGATTTGACCTAATAGAAATGTGGAAGCTCACTAAATGGTTTGTGTGAAGCTGTTGATTTCATGTCTGCTTCTGGAGCCTGAACTCAGCAGGGAAAGCAGTCAGATAGAAAAGATGAAGTGGTGGAAACAAGGACAAACTGTAACCTGTGGGGATGTGCTGGAACCCATGTTGGGCTCTCATTTCCCCTGAGACTTCCAATTTTGATGGTTGGGGTGTCCTATAGAAGAAGCTAGCACTGTTTGTGACCAACAAATATAAGTACCAAATATACACCTGGCTCAGGAGTCAAAAAAGCTCAAAGAGGAAATCTGGCAGGATCTGGAAAGAGTTGGAGTTCAGGTGTTGCCCCTCACTAACAAAGTGAGCCAGCAGACAAGTGACAGTATGCATGGGCTGCAAATACACCTCATGCCCTGAACCAGCTTTCTGAGTTAATTCATTTCTGCCTTTCAAATCTCACCCGTAATGACTCATGTGGTCCATACTAACCCAGAACCATGTAGTGAAAGAATTCTGGGAGGTGAAATTCCAGCTTTGCTGAAGTGAACATAATACAAATCCATACACCTTATTTTCCTTTTATTGTGTGTAGGATCTATAGTAAAGGCTCAATTTTCATTCCTAAAATTGGTAATTTGTGTTTTATCTGTATTGTTCTTGATCATTCTTGCTGGAGATTTATCAATTTTATTAATCTTTTCAAATAACTAACTTTTTGCTTTGTTAATTTTCTGTTTCCTATTTCATTGATTTTTTCTCTTATTTTTATTATTTTTCCCTTATATGTTGTTTTATTTTCTCTTCTTTTCCTGAAGTTAGAAACTTAGACTATTGATTTTAAACCTTTCTTTTTATTTTAATATAAACATTTAAAGCTGTAAATTTCTCTTTAAGTACTTCTTTGGCTTCATCTCACAAATTTTGCTGTATTGTATTTACTATTCATTTAGAAATAGTCTCTAGTTTTCCTTTTTCTTTCTTTCCTTGATCCTTGGGTTATTTAGACATGTGTGACTTAGTATCCAAATATTTGAGGATTTTCTAGGTATCTTGTTGCTGTTGGTTTTTAGTTTAATTCCATTATAGTCAAGAACTACTATATAAGATGTCGGTTTTTGAATTTTGTTGAGATTTATTTTATGATTCAGCATATAATCTATCTTGGTGAATGTTTCATTCTGTACCTGTTGATTATAATATTCTATAAGTGTCAGATCAAGTTGATGTGATAGTATTGTTAAAATCTTCTAGATTCTCTACTGATTTCTTACTCTGGTTTTTCTATCAATTACTGAGAGTGGGTTGTTAAACTCTTCAACTATGATTGTGAATTTGTGTCATTTTTGCTTTAATTCTGTCAATTTTTGCTTCATGTATTTTGAAGTTCTCTCATTAGGTGTACATAAACAATTGTCTTCTTGGTCATTCTACCATTATGAAATGTCTCTCTACCTCTGGTTATACCCTTTGATTTGATATTTAATTTGACATTAATATAGCCTCCCCATCTTTCTTTTGCTTACTGTTTGCATGATGGATCTGCTTTCTTCCTTTGATTTTTACCCTCTCTGTCTTTATGTTTGCAGTGCAGTTCTTGTAGGTATCATGTAATTGGGTCTTGCTATTTGTCCAGTTTATCTCTGTGTTTTAATTGGAGTATTTCATCCATTTAAGTATAATGTAATTATTAATATGGCTCTATTTAGGTCTGCCATCTTGCTATTTGTCCCTTTTTTAAGATTGTTTCTCTGTACCTCCTTCCTAACTTCTTTTGATAATTGACTATTTTTTATTTATCCATTTTAAATCCCTTATTGGATTTTTAGCTATACCTAATTGTCTTTTCTTAGCAGTTACTCTAGGGATTACAATACGCATCTGTAACTTATTACAGTCAACTTAGAGATATTGTACCATTTCATGTAAAATGTAAGAGCTATTTGCCTCTCCCAGCCTTTGTGCTGTTTTGTTATGTCTTTTACATCTTCATACATTATAAATCCCACAATATAATGGAGTTTAAATTGTCAATTTAAACTTAAAGAAATTAAGAGGAGCGCAAAAAAGTAGTCTTTTCTGTTTACTCACATATTTACCATCTGCTGCTCTACTTTCCTTTTTTTTGGTAGTTGACTAAAGTACTTGTTTTTGGTGAGGAAGATTGGCTCTGAGCTGACATCTCTGGCAATCTTCCTTTTTTTTTTTTGTTTCCCTCCCCAAAGCCCCAGCATGTAGTTGTATATCCTAGTTGTAAGTCATTCTAGTTCTTCTGTGTGGGATGCCACCACAGCATGGCTGGATGAGTGGTGTGTAGGTCCATGCCCAAGATCTGAACTGGTGAACCCTGGGCCACTGAAGCAGAGCACACATACTTAATCACTTGACCCTGGGGTGGCCCCCACTGTTTTCCTTTTTTAAGGTCCAAGTTTAACTTCTGGTTCATCTCCAATTTATCTTAAGAGCTTCCTTTTGCATTTCTTCTAGTTAAGGTCTGCTAACATCAAATTCAGGTTTTGTTATCTAAAATGTATCTGTTTCACCCTTATTTCTGAAGGATATTTTTCATTGATAAATAATTCTGGGTTGGAAGAGGGTTTTTCTGTTTGTTTTTTCTTTCAGTACTTGTAGAGATATCATTCTATCATCGTCTCGCCTCCATTGTGTTTTGATGTGACATCAGCTGTCCTTCATGTCATTGTATGTAATGTATCTTGTATATAATGTATCTTTTTCCCTCTGGCTATTGTTTTTTAAAATTGACTTTATTGCATAATAATTTATATATAATAAACTTTATCCATTTAAAATTTGATTGGTTTGACAGTTGTATACAGCTATGAAACCACCCCACAAATAAGATACAGGACATATCTTTAATCATGAAATTTCTTATGCCCCTATGCTTCTCTCCCCCCAACACTGCCCAACTCAGGCAACCACTGATCTGATTTTTGTCACTATAGATTATTTTGAATTTCATATAAAAAAGGATCTATAGTATGTATTATTTTGTGACTGGCTTCTTTTATGCAGCATAATTATTTTGAGATTCATTAATTCCATTATATAACCATACCACAGATTAGTTATCTGTTCTCTTCTTGATGGATGTTTGGATTATTTCCAGTTTGAGACTATTGTGAATAAAGCTGCTATCAGCATTCATGTGCAGTTCTTTGTGTGGTCGTGTGCTTTTATTTCTCTTGGATAAATGCCTATGAGTGAAATAAGTAGGCCATGTGGTAGTATATGTTTAACTCTAGAAAAC